AAAAAAAATGGAAGAAAGGAAATGGAAGAGAGGGAAGGAAGGAAAGGAAAGGAATGAGGGAAGAAGAGAAATCGAGGGACTTGTGGATACTGTGCGTGATCGCGAGCATGCGAGGAGAAGGATGCGTGTATATACGTGTGCACGCAGATGTGTGCAAGCACAAACTCAAGCGCGCGCTTGTACACACACACACACACACATACACATACACATACACACACACACACACACACACACACACACACACACACACACACACACACACACACACACACACTCATTCACTCACTCACTCACTCACTCACTCACACACACACACACACACACACACACACACACACACACACACACACACACACACACACACACACACACACACACACACACACACACACACACACACACACAAACACATACACACACACGTACACACACGCATACATATACACATACATACATATACACATACATACATACATAAACACATGCATACACACATAAATACACACACACATAAACACACACACACACACACACACACACACACACACACACACACACACACACACACACACACACACACACACACACACACACACACACCTACACACACCTACACACACACACACACACACCTACACACACCTACACACACACACACACACACAAACGAACAAACAACAAACACACAAACAACAAACACACACACACAAACAAACAACCGCACACAAACGAACAACAGACACACAGAACGCAAGCAAACACAAGCATTTATGAATATGCACTCGCACACACCTACTTTCATTTTCCACTTTCTTGCTGTCCGATCGCGTCACGCAGTCGTGGTCGGGTAAACAGGCGCGTTATAATTCTTTGTGCTTTGAAGAACCACTGCTTTCATGTCCATTATTTTATTTTTATTTTTGCGCTTTCTGTGGGCGTATGTAAGATTTAAAAAAAAAGAAAAATAAGTGAAAGATTAAAAAAAAACGTCTGTTTCGGGAAAGATTAAAAAACAAGAATTAATGCGTTTGTTTCGTGAAAGATTAAAACAAAAAGCGTGAAAGATATTTTTTAATGCGTCTGTTTCGGGAAAAAAGACATCTGTTTCGTGAAAGGTTTTAAGAATAGAAGAAAACTCGTATGAAAACGAATCAAAAACAAATGATAAGTCGAATGCTGCTTGTTTCGTAATTTGTGAATGATTTGATTAAAAACAAGAAAAAAAACAAAAACAAATGATAGATGAGATGCACAATGTTTTGAGAATTTGAAGATATTTCGAAAAGCATTAATGATTAAAAAAAAAGACTTCACTCTAATTTGTTTGTGAAGTGTGAAAAGTGGACAAAAAAGTGTGAGAATTTACAAAAAACAAAACAAAAAAAATAAGTAAAGAGTGTGAAAAGTAAACAAAGAGTGTAAACATGAAGTGGACGCATTGTGGATAAAAGTGTGATGTTTTTTTAAGTGAATAGAAAGCGTGAGAAATGGAGGGAAAAGTGTTAAGTATGAAAATTGGACAAGATAGTGTGAAGTGTGAAAATAAACAGACCAAAAGTGTGAAGCATGATAAGTAAACAAAAACAAAAAACGAAAACAAAAAAGGCGTGAAAAGGATGAAAAACGAATAATTAAAAAAAAGTGTGGAAAAGCGAACGAAAAAGAAGTGTGAAGTGTGAAGTGTATGTGTGTGGGGGGGAGGGGGGGGGGAAATTTACGAAGAGTGTGAAGAGTGAAGCGTTTCTGTGGCAAATCCACGCGTGGGTCAGAAGTGTGGCGAAACGAACCGCTTTTAAAAGAGTTACAAAATCCGGTGATTTGTGGCCACTTCTGGAGACCTTCACCCACACCCGTTTCCGTTTTTCTCTTCATTTTTGTCTGTTTTTATTTTTTTTTAAGGGAAGGGGAGGGGTGGGGGGTTGAAGGTGTGTGTGTGGGGGGGGGGGGGGTCGGGGGGCGTTAAATTTCCCTTCGTATTTCTATGGCTTTTTTATTATTTTTTTTCTCAGTTTCTCTGTCTATTTTTCTTTTTTTTCTCAGTCTCTCTCTCTCTCTCTCTCTCTCTCTCTCTCTCTCTCTCTCTCTCTCTCTCTCTCTCTCTCTCTCTCTCTCTCTCTCTCTCTCTCTCTCTCTCTCTGCCTGTGTCAATCTATGTGTCTATCTCTCTATCTACCTAATTCTCGTTCTCTGTCAATTTATCTGTCTCTCTCTTTTTAATTATATATTATTTCTATGATGTCTCTATTTCGAAAAAAACAATAATTATTTGATCTGTTTACTTAATTACTCTCACACCGTCTTGTGGTATTTCGTCAATTTACTTATTATCTATTCATATATCTACTTATTCGGTTTTTATTTAAGTTTTCGTAGGTTTAATCACCTTCCTATTTAAACGAAAATCTATTAAAGTGACGAAGAAAAAACGAAAAAAAGGGTAAAACTTGAGATATGAAACAAGAGACGAAAGCGTGCGAGCGAAACGCTGTGATTTCAA